TGTTTTCCGAACACACACACAGACAGCCTCTCGATAATATGCGTTTTTGCTGGCTGTAGCAGCGCTATTGCGCTGCACAGCAAAAACGCATAAAAATGAAGGCAAATATCGGAATGCAGAGAATCAGGGAAGACAGTTTATGACTTTTATTTATGCTCTTATTGTGCAAAACTCAGGTTGCCAAATTTTCAACTGCCCGATCTTTTTTAATCCCCAGCAATGCAGGGCCGGTCCTCCGATGTGTTTGAGCTGAGTGCACATTTGAATTAGTTACCAACAGATACTATTTGCAAAACAGCGTGAGGGACATTTGCTAGTTCCGGTTCCCAGCGTTTTCAGCGCTTGCACCAGTACTTATTTGTCAGAAATAGTATGAAATGTCTGTACACGTTATCCAAGCGCTTGTCCAGGTGGTGCTATGCGCTCAGTTAGCTCCCCAATATGTGTCAATAAAGCATTTGCCCCGTATGGGAACTCGGTCTGGCTGATCGGTGTCGGAAATAGGCTTGTGTGAGCCAGTGAAACAAGGATGAGCAGTGGCAGCAGCAGCAGCAGCTCGCTAGCTTACACATTTTGGCTCAGCTTCATCCCAAACAACAGCGCCTCTTTGGTCATGCAGAAGAATGTGAGCCGGGGAGCCTGACAGTCACTCCTCATCTTTGTTTTGTGCAACTGCGCTACGATTTTTCAATGGAATTAGCTGCGAGCTTCGGGAGTGGACTGAGGCAGCTAAGAGCTGCTGGGCGTCGTGCTGATGGTGCACTGGGTTCTGGCGCTTCCTACAGCCACAGTCTGTGCGGCCAGTCAGTGGTTCGATGCCTGTTCCACTGGGAAAACCAGTTCCCATGCATCGACGGCCACGCTGAACTGCTTCATGCATCCCTGATATGAAGCAGGAAATTCTCTCTGTCCCTCCCTCTGTAGCATTCCTTGGAAGAGAAAATCGGCATCATCAGCGTTGCCAAAAGCGAATGGCTGCCGTTGGCAAGAGCGCTGTTCATGCCACAGATCTGTCCGGCTTCTTTAAGAAGAACGAATTGCACGGAGAAAATAATTTTTTGGTCTCAGGAAATTGTTCAGATCCGATAGCACGAAAGCAAAATAAAGTCAGAATGGCGTACCTGAGATTCATAATGTGGGAGTGGAATCTAGTCAAGGCTTTGGTCATAGACGAATCCAGAAGGGGAGACCTCCCCTTCCCCCCCCCCCCCCCCCCCCCCCCCCCCCCCCCCCCCCCCCCCCCCCCCCCCCCCCCCC